CGCTTCCCTTCCACCACCCCCCCCCTCCTTGCTAGACGGGAAGTGAAAAGTGTTCGTTTGAACAGGTGGTTGCTTTGGACAGGTGGTGGATAGAGGAGGTCTGACTGTTTTTAAAATATTATATTATTGATACATACATCTTTTTTTCTTTTAACTTTTTTAAACTTGAACAAAATCATCAAGATAACGGCAAAACACCGTCAATAGAAACATCAGAACGAAGTCTGCTTGTGGCACTTTCGTTACGTCAGTTTTGACTCCTCTCTAAAAGCTTTCTCTTGTCTAGTACATGTACAGAGAAGCCGAACCTCGATGTCAACAGCTAACAAAGCCATAGATATACATGATTTCCTGGACCGCGCAATATCATGGCCGCAATTCTTCGCTATCTATAAAACCTTTGCTGCAAAGCGCATATTTCATGGGCCGCGCCATAACACCCAAATAAAAGACAAAACACCAGTATCACTATAAAAATTCATGCAGCAGCCCCCCCCCCCCCTACACACACACCCTTTTTTCCGTTTCCCCTCCTCCTTTTGACTCAAATTGGGTCAAATTGCGAGCTCCATAGTAAATTGGGAAAATACGTCAGAGTACGCAATCTGGGATATCGTTATACTTATACAAGTCTATGCCCAAAACGCAAGTTCTTGTACATGCTTCCCTGATAGATCCCGTCTGGTCACAATAATGTCGCACTTTTCTTGTCATTCACAATCTTTACCACCGCAAAATTCGTTGCTCTTAACGACGCCACAAAATGAAGTAACACACCCACCCGCCAAGGAGGTTAAAAGTTTGTTTTAAGCTCTTTGCCACCCACCCATACCCTGCAATTATTGCGTAACGTCACTGCCTTTGGTCCAAATGCCCCCCAGCACTGTCGCTACACTGGCCAGTCAGGTGGGACTTGCGCTGTGCTGGATCTCAGTAGACCGTGGTCGATCAGGCAGGACTTACACGGGGGTATAGAGCGAGTGATGGTTTGTCTTGAGTGTGTGTGTGTGTGTGTGTGTGTGTGTGTGTGTGTGTGTGTGTGT